CGTGCAGTCTGAACTCGGCATAAATGAACCGCTATTTTGAATCATTTGATAAGTTTGTGTGTTCTCACTGTTTGCTGAGAAGTGTCACTGATGGATTCCAAGCAGAGAGAATGTACTGTACACTCTTGAACAAAATCTTAAGATCAGGGGAAACATTTTAAGTATTCGTATTTTGCGCTGGTGTATCATAACCGGGTTGTAAGTACTGCTTCAAAATGCCAAAAGAAGAAACAGGAGCAAGAGACAAAAAATAGAGAGTAGAGCAATTTATTGAAAACTGCATTTAAACTCAAACAGGCTGTTCATCAGCTGATCAAAAGTTTAAGACCATAGCCCAAAAATAAACCTACAACAGAACTAAAAGTGTCAAAAAAGGACTCACTTCAAACACTCGTTTCGGCATGCTTGATGCGACTGTTCCCAGGAGGCTGCTGGGAACGTTGCTCCATGTGGTGAAGATGGCTTCACGAAGGGCATCCGCGGTCTGGAACTGACATCCGTTTTTGTAAACTTCCCTTGCCATCCATCCCCAAATGTTCTCAATGGGATTTAGATCAGGAGAACACGCAGGATGGTCCAAAAGTGCAACGTTATGCTCCTGGAAGAAGTCCTTCGTCAGGCAGGCATTGTGAATTGCAGCGTTGTCGTGTTGAAAGACCCATTCATTACTGCACAGACGGGGGCCCTCAGTCAAGAGCGATGCCCGCTGCAACATATCCACATAGCCAGCCGCCGTTTGACGCCTCTGGACAACCTGAAGCTCCATTTTCCCATTGAAGGAAAAAGCACCCCAAATCATGATGGAGCCTCCTCCACTGTGCCGTGTAGAAAACATCTCCGGTGGGATCTCCTTGTCATGCCAGTAACGTTGGAAGCCATCAGGACCATCCAGGTAAAAATTTTTCTCGTCAGAGAATAAAACTTTCTTCCATCTTTCAATGTCCCATGTTTGGTGCTCCCTTGCGGGCAAGTTTGTGGCGTGGGAGGAGACGTGGCCTTTGAAGGCGTTTTTTTGTTCTTGAAGCCCTTCCCTCGCAGATGACGTCTTATGGTTATGACGTCTAATGGCTACAGTCAGCATCAGTAAGGGCCTTAATTTGGGTCGAGGTTCGACCTGTGTCTTCACTGACAACCCGTAGGATCCTGCGGCTCAGCGCAGGTGAAATTTTTTGGGGTCTAACACTTGACTTTTTTTGTCCCATAACTCTCAGGATCTTTTAAGAAATGTAAAATGACTGTCTTACTGCGTCAAATCTTGGCAGCGATGGCGCGTTGTGAGAGACCTTGCTTGTGCATCTCAACAATCCTGCCACGTTCAAAGAGAGAAAGCCTTTTTGCCTTTGCCATCAGGAGATCATGACAGTGTGACTCCCTGAAGATCAATGACACGAAAGACATATTTTTGTGCAGATTTTACCTTTTTATGCCTATGGTCATGAACTTTTGATCAGCTGATTAACAGCCTGTTTGAGTTTAAATGCAGTTTTCAATAAATTGCTCTACTCTCTATTTTGTGTCTTGCTCCTGTTTCTTCTTTTGGCATTTTGAAGCAGTACTTACAACCCGATTATGATCCACCAGAGCAAAATGCGAATACTTGTTTGCCCCGGTCTTAAGATTTTGCTCAGGAGTGTATATCTTTATCTCATTTCTGCTCTGCCTAAGCAGATATGGACTCCCACATACTTTAAAACATTTATAGTACATTCGCAGCAGATAGACACAAGTGTCGTTATTGAAAACAAAGCCAAAGGCTCAACCAAAATATTAAAGTGTGGCGAGCAACGCATTTCCCGTCTTCTGCGTCATCATTACCAAGCAACAGGCGTCAACAAAAACGCACACAAATGCAAACACACTGTGGTTCTGAATCAAACAATACAGTGATAACGCATTTCAGCAGGGGGAGGTGGAGCAATTGAACTAAAGGCTAAAACAAATGTAAACATTTTTTTTCGGATAACTAGTCTACTTAATTTGACTAGTCAGTTGTTGAACTTCAACCATGAACAATCCCATCTTAGTGACAGAAATTACACGCTTGAAAAGCTAAATGGACCCATATCATTTTCAAATGATCATTTCAACACGTTAACCAAAAATGTTTATTTGATTAACTCTTGATTTATTTTAGTTGTGACAATGTCTTGTCTTTATCTGTGTACTTTTCCAGCTGAGGGAGTTCAATATCTGCGGTAGATGCCAGGTGGCACGCTACTGCGGCTCACAGTGTCAACAGAGGGATTGGCCGGCCCATAAGAAGCAGTGCCGTGAGCGTAAACGTGTTCTGGCGCTGGAGTCTGAGCCCGAGCGATGATCCCCCTCAACCCCCCTGTTTGAAAAACAAGGGAAACAGGGTGTGGGGCGAGACTGGAGTTGAAATGCAAAAACACTCTAGTAGGCCTGGGGACAGTTTTGGTGAGTTGGATGGGCCTATTGGGGGAAAAACATACTTCCCAGAACTTTCACATCTCCACAACTTGCCTATGGGGATTATGGGAAATGAAGTTTTTTTTTTTGTTGAGAGGGAGGTCTTAAAAGCTCCACCTGCTGCTATGGATGTGTTTGATGAAGAAAAACACCATGCCGTCATAACTTTCTCTATGGACTGCATTTGAGTATTGACAGTCATGCGCTCGCTTGTTCCATCCACCCTTCTGTCATGAAGTATTAGCCGCCGAGGGACAAAACTGCTGTACAACTGATGATGGGATGGAATACGGACCTCCTCACTGTACTACCCTTCCTCCTCTTCTCCCGGTTGGAATTCTTGTGCACATAACCAAGCAGAGTCACTCACCTGCCATAACATCTACAAATATACAGTTGATCGATGTTCAAAATCACACCACCAGTATTGTGTGCAATGCCATTTTTGACTGAAGGACATGGTTGAAGTGGTTGAATGTTTTTTGTTTTGTTTTTGCTTTATGGGAATTTTTGGGGGGCGGTGTCGGGAAATATTCCTCCTTTGGGAGGCAGTGTCACTTTTCCTGTCTACCTGTTTTTGAAATGCATTACAATCCTATTTACTCTTCCCACTCATGTCATGTTTAGTTTTACTTACCATAACAAGCACTCAGTTTAGAGGGATGTCCTGGGAAAAACTTGAAAACCCACATGGAAAGTTGACTCTGATTCATGTTGTCAATGTGTGCTAAGTTGGATGTCTAACATTTTCATTTGGGTCCCAGTCATTCAATGATTAGTCGTCTTGTTTGTCTTAATCTTTGTCAAAATGAGTAACTTATGATTTTTTTTTTTTTTTACTTTTTATAAATTTCTCATCTTGATACAAAAATATGTGCACACATGTTCCAAGTGTGTCTTCCTCTTACGTCAAGGGCAACTCAACCAAACTGACGCGCACACACAAATAAGCATGTAAAATAGATGCATACATGTGACGTTTGTCTGTTCGTATTCCGAATAATTTATCTGGTTGGGGTTGAACACTGTGCACTGAATATCCTCACTTTGATTCTTGTTCTTTTCTGAGAAATGGGAGTCTGGGGAAGGTTGGTGTCTGTTCTTTTTATTTTTTTCTAAGCTATTACCATACAAACATTAAAATGCATAAATATGTGAATGGACAAAGTTTGTGATAACTGACCATCTCTTGTCACTGTAAAATATAAGAATAAAATTAATTAAATAAAATCTCAAATGTGTAAAGGTTAATTTGGTTGCAAAGTGTCTATTTTGCCCATATTATGTTCTCTTATGAGGGGACGCATGCAATTCAGTTTCTTTATATAGAACCCAAAATTTGGGCTATATTGTTATTAGGATGTTTGCATTCTGCACAATTTTAATTATTTTGATATGAATCAAAATAAATATTTAAAAGCACCTACAGGATGGTGAAAGTGAAATTGAGGACAGGATAAATATATACTTCATTGGTAACACTTTACAATAAGGTTCATTAGTTAATATAAATAGCATAAACTTAGCCTGGGGCACGTTCAAGTTCAAAACGGTGCGCAACGTTTTGCTACGGTTTCCTAGTTGAACGTCATGTTTCCAGGAAACGCTGTGCACCGGTGTGCAACGGGGTTTGATAGACATCATATGGCACGGACGAGAATTGGAGCCGCCATCTTAAACCGGTCATCCGCTCCGTTCAGTAATCTGAATGGCAGCAGGTGGAATGAGCTGTCAGCGCATTAAATTAATCATATCTCACTGAATACTGAACTGATTTTAACGCGTTTTTTTTTTTTTTTTTTTGCTTCAAAGGTCATTATGACTTATTGAGATTTAAAAAAAAAAAAACACTGGGTGGATTAAATCATTCTAGGGTGGTTTTGCTCACACACTGCCAACACATTTATTCAAACACCATGTAAAATGAATTTTCCATAATAGGTGCCCTTTAATTGGTCTCATCTGGAATGGACACAACAACATCAAAACAGATCACAATAAATGGACAGGTAAAATTCCATAAGGTTAAAGATTGTACTGGATATCTGAGAGAATTTCTAAAATAATACGAAACCAATCCTATGGACAATGAGAATCCTCTAAGAATCTAATGAGCTCTAGTTAGATCTGAATTATTAATACAGTAAGAATATTCAGCAGAACAATATTGGTGAGCAAACAAAACACTAGTGTTTTGTTTGCTCACCAATTGTTCAGCTTAATATTCTTACAGATTCATGTGTTTTTGAATATTTTGTTGAATAAAACTAAATAAATGAAATACATTGATTAGTTTATTATTATTATTTGTTTATTTATTTGTTTATTTTTCAGGATTAAAACTGTTTTGAAGGTCGAAAGTCAGCAAAGAGGAAGACGATATAAGTACCATCACCAAACTCACATAAACAAATGGATTACCTCTGACAGTTCATGTTTCCTTCTAAGTAATAAATTAAACAAATTTGTGATTATTCTATTGGACCCATTATCAGATAAGTCAAATGCATTAACGTCTCCAGTCCATAAGAGGTCACTGTGAGAGAACCTGTATCTGTTACTCCTTCTACATTTTCTTCGCTGGGCATACGGAAATTACACAACAACAACAAAGTGAGGTTGAATAAACCCTCCATGGTCACACCAATTTGGAGGTTACAGTCTATAATTGTTGCAGGATGGTCAACCTTGGTCTCACTAAAGTTGATGATGCGGTTGCTGCAAAGCACCCGGTGCGTGTGTTTTATATTGTAAAATGTATTTGAGGTTAATGGAATAACTAGTCTGCAGCCTGCCTATTTTCACTATTCATAGAGTAGTGCGGGGCTAACGTTAGCTGACACACTTTTTACTCACGTAAATATCTCTCATCCATTACTTTGACGAAATTATTTATCAGGAAAGATTTTAGTTCATTTAACAAAATAGTAACCAGCCGTTTGACAAATTAGCAATTTGAGAGTAATTCCTAATAATTTTAATAATTCCACATATCTTAAATATTAACAATTCCATGGTGATTATATTTCACTGTCCTCAGGGTTTGCAGCAGTACGCCGCCTGTCAGTCTTACGCCTTTATGAAAGGCACAGCAGGCTTCATACTGGGTTAGTGTCATATTCACATTAAGAAGTGGTTATGTCTCAACAATGTAGTGTTTGTGAAAGTAAATGACAAATGACACTTTTGTTTACACAGCAGTGAGACTCTTTCTTTACATCAGTGTATCATACTATCCTGTTTTTATTTTTCATTAGGACTTTCAGGAAAAAAAAGTTAGTTTTATAAAACATAGTCTACCTGCTGTGACAACCCCAATAGGCTATGTCCTGGATTTTATTTTATTTACAAACGGTGTTTGTTTGTTTTTTGGCTTTGGGTGAAAATGTAACTATCCTCAACCAGGCACAGCGGGTTTATTTTTTGCACAGCGAGTACTTCAGACAAGAATCCCATATCCCTTTCAGTGGAACCTTCTAGTATCTATTGGTAAGTCTGATGCATTTTTTATTTTTTTGAGGATCATGCAAGATTTTTCTCTTTTTGTTTTCATAAACAGGATGTTTAATTCAAAATGTTATAAAGAAAATAATTTGTGTGATGTTAGCTATTTTTTCCTTTTGTCTTTACAGTTTCCTCCTCAGTATTCAGCTATACAGTGACTCGCTGGGAAACCATGAAGTGCTCAGACTTGTGGTTATATCTTGAGACAGGAAGCGTTCCTGACAGAAACTCTTCTAGTAAGCATTTAGTTTTTATCTGCCATCTCTCTCTTTTTATACCAACGCATGTTACAATAACTATTTAGCGCCATCTTTCGTCTTTATCGACAAGAGACAAAAGAAGTCAGATTATATTGTTGTGGCTGGCTATGCAAGCTAATTAAAAAGTTGAACATTGAATTGCAGACAAATAGTTGTAAATAAATTATTTTTGCTTGGTCGTTTTTTTTAATGGTTCTGGATAATGTTTTTATTATTTTATGATGATCCATTTCTATTTATCAATTTAATAGAATTTGTAGATTTTTTTTGTCAAAACAGTATTTCATGTCTATTTAATTTAGTACAATCTTAAAAAAAGTTCCTTACTGGCATAAAAGGTTTCATGAAGAACTTTTCCACTGCGCAAAAATATCAGACATAGTGGAAAAAGGTTCTTTAGATTAAAATGTTCCTAACAATAAGAAAAGAATGGTTCTTTTAAAAACTAAGTTCTTTTGGGAGCCCCAAAAGTTTCATCCCTCCCTCCATTCCTTTGCAGAACCTTTTTATTTAAGACCACCCATGTAAGATAAGTCAGCCTGTCATCACAAAATAAACTTTTCAAACAATCCCACAATCCTTCTGCTTCTTATCATTTTATGATAATGACTGGCTGACTGTACATTGTAATGTAAATTGTGTGCCTTTTGGACTTCATGATGGAGGAATCTGACCATTGATTCTTTATTATTCACTTAGAGGAAGAACCACAAACGCCTGCAACACCTGTAGAAGATCCTAAAGTCACAAGATATGGGGATGTGCTGGAATAAGCTAAAATAATTACTTTGTTTGCATAATAAAAATGTACAATCTAAAAAATACAAAAGTTCATTACTAATGTTTAATATATATAGTAGACTAATATTGTATAGAGAATAAAATATTCTCTCTCTGACTCTCTCTCTCTCTCTCTCTCTCTCTCTCTCTCTCTCTCTCTCTCTGTGTGTGTCAAGAAATAAATGATATTTATTGTTTTGCTTACCTTCTGTTTAACACAATCAATTGTTCTATGAAAGGAGCTGAAATAAAACATTTTTGTTTCAGTTAGCCAGTTTTCATTTAGAAGATCTTAATCAGTCCATTAGGGAAGGATCTGTCATCCTGCAACTACATTACACAGCAGCTGTCCTTTGAGATACATAAGACAGAGGCACATTTTTGTTCCTTTATAATAATAATAATAAAAATAATTCATTACATTTATATAGCGCTTTTCTCGGCACTCAAAGCGCTTTACATAGAGGGGGGAATCTCCTCAACCACCACCAGTGTGCAGCATCCACCTGGATGATGCGACGGCTGCCATAGTGCGCCAGAACGCTCACCACACACCAGCTTACTGGTGGAGAGGAGACAGTGATGAAGCCAATTGGTATATATGGGGATAATTAGGAGGCCATGATGGACAGAGGCCACTGGGCAAATTTGGCCAGGATGCCGGGGTTACACCTGTTGTGGGGAATTTTAATCTCACATGTATTAATTGTTCTCCCTTATCAAGAGTGGAGCTAGGCACCAGAGGACCGGCCGGGTCAGGGGTCATCTTAGACTGGGAGGGGTTGAGGGGGTTAGTAAATCTAACCTGGCATCATGAATCCTATAACTTTGTGGAAATTTACAGAGAAGGCTCGGCTTGCAGTAAATAGCTTGGGGAGGGCTATTTAGTCTTCACCCCGGCCTGTGTTCTGGGCGTCACTCCACTTCGCAGTAATCTGTGTTGGTGACTGAGCCTTATTGTTCTTGCAAGAATAATAAACCTTTTCCTTTATTAATTTGACTCAGAGTGTCTCTTACGAAGTGATGTCTGTTTTATTGAATTTTTGCCTTAACAATTGGTGTCAGAAGAATGGGATTCCTTGGAAGTGCCTTCTGGACCTGAGAGCGGACGGTGTTTGGCCACCTGGACTGAGCAGTTCCAGCTCTACCTCGTAAGCTTGAGAGAGAGGGGCCGACCGCTATCAGGCCCAGGAGAGGCTCCACTGGAATCAAAAAGAACCCGAGGCACAGAGAAAAGACATCCTGGTAACACACAGCTAAATTCATTTTATATTGGGTATATAATTGAGGGGAACTGTACTGGCTGGGGTCTATTTCGGTGGTTGCGAATAAGAGAGTAGTCCAAGATTAATTGAGACCTGTTGGCAGGTCAAGAAATTTCATATGGACACTGAGTTTTCGTAAATTGCGAATAAGAGAGTAGTTCAAGATTAATTGAGACCTGTTGTCAGGTCAAGAAATTTCGTATGGACACTGAGTTTTCGTAAATCTGAAATTAATTGACATTTGTCAGGTCAGAGATTTCGCCCAGATTACGGTCCGAGATCACTTGAGAGCTGAAAGCAGGTCAAGAGATTTCAGGTGGACTCTAATCTGTGGGGTAATTGAAGATCTGCAGCGGGGTCAAAAGATTTCCAGTAGATAAAGCGCTGGTAGTGCACCTTGACCGATCTTGGGTTAAGAGATCGGATCTGTTGGAGACGTCCGACAGATTATTAGACGCGTCGAAGGAAAATCCACGGGGGGAAATAGAAACAGCCAGTATGGGGAAATCTCAGAGCAAGCTTGCCAGATATGATACACTGGTGTTTTGGTCAAATGAGAAAACATTATGGGCAGAAATGTGTGGATATAGAAAATTGATAAAGTATCATGATTTTCCCAGTGAGGGAACACTGAGCGCTACCAGGCTAAAGGTAGGCTAGTGAAGAAATCAGTGGAACAGGGCAGCGAAAAGCAAACAGGCTGTTGTGGCTGCGTTCATCATGAATGTAAAAATGTAAAGACAGCTATGTCCAAAGATTCTGGAAATCAGTAAGGTTGATTGACATTGAAATAAGATATTGTTTTATAAAAGGAAAGTTTGGGTCGGGAATAATTTCCCTAGGCAAGTGATTAAAGTTAAACTGAAACTTTGTGAAAACAACTTCGAATATTTTGAGCATTTCGATGCAGCTTATGAAAATTAATGTTCTGTCAATAATAATGAAGAAGATTATGATTGGACTATTGTGATTAAATCCGCCACTGGTGGACTGTAAAAGAATACAGAGAACTGCTTATCAGTGGCTCTGTGTGCATTCCTGAGTGGGACACACTGCTTCAAGTGTGTTCAGTAAGTTGGAGCAGATAGAGAGTGTATTAATTGTGGTCAGGAGGATCATTTAACACGTAACTGTAAATGCCCACCGAGAAGGTGGTTGAAAATGTGATAGAGACACATTTCTGGTAATAATGTGGGTTTGAAAGTAAATCAGTTTAAATGACAACATTAACATTTTTTCATCTGAGAAATAATAGATAAAAACAAGGTCAAGAGATTGAAGCCTTAAAGTGAATCCTTTTAAAGAAAGGATCTATGATAGTAATTTTTAAAAGTGAATTTATGAATAGGCCTACAATTTGATGTAAAATGAATGACTCCAACAAATGTAAGTTGCAAAATATATCAAAGTAACTAAAAGGATGAATGTGTTTTAATTAAACATTTTAAAAAGGTTTTAGATGATATAGAGAGACTAATCGCACAGATGATTTACAATAACTGCAAAAGTATCACAAGCAGAGAGTGCTTGCCTCGTCAAAGTTAGAGTGAATCCTAATTGGAGATTGATAAACTCCAAGAGAAAACTTAAGTCAAATATTAAACTATGGTTGAACTCGACGATTAAAATTGAGAAATAAGAAATGTTATTAAGAACAAGAATAATTATTTTTATTTAAAATTAAATAAGCAGAAGCAGTACTGGATTAGCAGTTGATAAATGCTGATTAAACAAACAGCTTGAAGAGTTGACCATGAAAGAACTAGAAGCTGAGGTTTAGCTTTCAAAAGATAGGTTTGTTTTTGGTTGTAATGAAATAGTTTGCTTATCTGAATCTGGTGTGTGCTGTGGCTGCAAAACTGCCAGTGCAACAGAGACTCAATCTGAGTGAAAATTAGTAATGCCTTAATTCCCTGATGTGGGCAAAAGACAAATGTAAATAATGTTTATTTGAAACCGTATGTAATTTCTGGCAAAGATGCCTTAAGTTGGAATAGAATACAAAGTTTGATGTTAGAAGTTTATGAGCGTGCAGTAGCAGTCCTGAATACCTCAGTCTCTCTCTCATTCAATGTCAGAAGCTGTTATCTGAGCCTGTGTCATTAGTGATAATAAGCTATTTGTATTAAAACAGTGTTTCAGTTGAAGATCATAGACACAGAGATGTTAAAAGAAATCAATGCCATTCAGAGGCAATTTGTATTTTAAATGTTTTAAAAGTAAGTCCCTCTATCCCACTCACCAGAAACCGCACTTACAGCACGGCTTGTTTCTCATTGTGACAAGCTCTATGTATGCCAGGGGACCACACCCTGATGGAGATTATAGAAAAGAGCTAAGAGGAATTGGGCTTTCAGGGTTCAGTCAGGGCCATGAAGTGATTCCCATTAGTTGTTGTGGAGACAGCAATAAAACTTTTGGATGTCGGTCGCCTTATGGGCAAGGAAAATTATAGTGTTGATTTTGAACTAATATGTTTAACATATTTTTGACTCCTGAAGGTCGTTAGACATGGTGGTGACTAAAGATGAAGACAGCTTTTGTAGATTTAAGAAGAGTCTAGATAACAAAGGTGAATGGTCAAAGGATATTGTAATGAGTTTAAATGTTGTCTAAGTTACAGTCTTAGGAGGCTGTTGAAAAGATTATTTTGTTATAGTGAGAGAGACTTGAGTGGAGGAAGGGAACTGTGTCTGTCTTTCTGTTATTGGCCTGCTAAAGCAAAATAATGATAATGAACCAAAACAACCAGCTGACCTTGTTAAATTCGAATGAATAATGAACAGACATGCTTTGAAAGATGGTTTAGAAACCATGTAAATTTAGGTAAAGGTTACAAGAAAATGTAAAGTTTAAAATCTTATTCGAAAGATTTGAATATGAAAATATGCAGTTCATAGTCAGGTATGAGTGTGTGTGTGTGTTTAATAGTGAAAGCATTTTATGCTTTTGTGAGTTTTATCATCACAGATGGGCCAAGGCAAATGACAAACTTTAAAGGAAAATTCTGACGAGCTTTAAGTTGATTGGTCATCAAGCTCTGTCTAGTAGTAATAGTTTTGTCATTCATGATGTAGTTGTAAATTGGAATTGTGAATTTGTTGACGGACGTCTGTCAGGGGTTGAGATCAACGAAAAGGGTGTAGATTTGATGGCAACAACAAAGAAAAATGGCTAAGTTAATATCGAATTATTAAGAGAGTCCTTAACAATCATGAACTGAGGGGGACATTGACTGACATAGACTAAGTCTGTACAGCACGACGTGACCTGATAGAAACAATTGATGACTTTGGAAATGTTTGTAGATAACTGACTTGAGAGACCAAACAACAGGCCTGAAAAGCAGGATTCGCTGTGAGACTCAGGGCCGTTGCCCTTCAAAAAACTTCGATAAGAAGGTGAGATTGGGCCTTTAAGTAATATTTTTGTTTCAGAGGCAGAGAAAGATGTCTGGGCGAAAATTGGTTGAAGGATGATGTTTGGGTTAGTGTTGATTGGAGAATTAGATTAATTTAAATTGATGCATGAGCTGGGTCACGCATCAAAAGGGGGATGGTAACAATTGCCAAATATGGGTTTACTGAGGGGTTCAAATTTGCTGAAAGCCATTGCACAGGTGGGGCAATGTTGCTGTCTATAAGTGGGCTGCACACGCTGATAACACAATTTCAGGACTGTTTCAACAGGAGACGCCAGGGCAGAGGCAGCACAGCGGACAAAAGAAACTACGTGTACTTTACTATCTGAAAATAACCTCGCCATTTGTTTTTCTCTACAGATCATGCAGACTTTTAAGACATGAGAAGAATGTGTCTAATAAAATAATGGCTAGGGATGAATTTGGCTAACTACCCTGGCCTGGTTTATTAGTGTGACGGAACGGTGTCACACCTGCGCAGCGCATAACTAAGATTTTCCTTTTACAGAATCTCAGGATGGATTGCAGCAAACAGAACTGATTCTGTTTCAAATGTATAAACGTTATGCTGAGGACATGAGCAATATGAGTTGAATGTTTCCCAGAGGGAAAAGGACTCTGAATGATATTAAGATCCAGTGATAATGTTTCAGGTTATTGATTCCACAGGTCACATTAAAAGGGGAAGACCGGCCAGACAAGCAGATGAGTTAATAGATGTTGTCACTAACAAGAATAGTTAAGGTCTCTATTCTCTATGCGATCGTGATTTAAGGGAAACCTTGTAAGGATCAGAAAATGGTTGGAGAATGTGACACCTGGGTCCAAGCCTCTCACCTTAAGACAACACCAGCAGGCCTCAACCATCCAATAGAGCATAAAGTGAGGGGTCAAAGGCTAGTGCTAGTAACAGCCTCCCTCCCGACGTGGGAAGACCATTGCGACGGCACGCAAAGTGTCACCCTGGTGAACATGGAACGTCCATGGGGCGAACGAGATGATCAACACACCTGGAGGAACCACCTGCTAACTGATGGTTTAAGTTTAACAGGAGAATCAGGAGGATGATTTTGGTTGAATCAAACTAAGTATTGATTTGATTGGTGCAAATATAGGAAATGTATTGATCGATGTGTCTGTACTAGAGATATTAGAGTTCATTTTGAACAACTAATTTGGTTACAAGAAAGGATAAAATTATAAGTCTTATCTGGTAAGATTTGTTAAACGGCATTCAATAGGGCTTACTAAATTGAATTAGAAGTCTTGTTTTAACATTGCAGACTATAGTGACAACATAACTGGTGGATTGAACACATGAGACAGGTGGTAAAGGAGCCTGAACATGCTAATGGGGCATGGGTTGGGTGGTTCATGTCTATGTGGGGAGGATGGGTGTACTGGATAATCCAGACGGTACTGCCAATTGTAGCGATATAGGACTGCTGCATTTTGGTGTATTTTAATATCATATTGGAACAATTATGGGGTTTTGTTGGTTGTTTTTCTTGCTAATCTATAACCTATTTCTTATATATTTGGAGTGACTGAGGGTCTGATTTTTATCAGGAGTGCAATAACAGTGATTATTCATTTAGCCCGGCTTCAAATAAAATGCTTTACTTGCTTGCTAGACAATTAATGGAGCTTTACTCCGCAAAAACAGCCTTAAGCTTTCTTCTTTTACAAATACTATTTTTTTCAACAGATGTTTAAGCAGAGTGATCATTTATGCGAAAATCAATTGAAGGGTATAAATGTGATGTTGGGCTTAAAATTTGTCTTTGTTTATTATTATGATTATGGGTAACCTAATGATAAACAGGGGGGAATTGTTGTGGGGAATTTTAATCTCACATGTATTAATTGTTCTCCCTTATCAAGAGTGGAGCTAGGCACCAGAGGACCGGCCGGGTCAGGGGTCATCTTAGACTGGGAGGGGTTGAGGGGGTTAGTAAATCTAACCTGGCATCATGAATCCTATAACTTTGTGGAAATTTACAGAGAAGGCTCGGCTTGCAGTAAATAACCTTGGGGAGGGCTATTTAGTCTTCACCCCGGCCTGTGTTCTGGGCGTCACTCCACTTCGCAGTAATCTGTGTTGGTGACTGAGCCTTATTGTTCTTGCAAGAATAATAAACCTTTTCCTTTATTAATTTGACTCAGAGTGTCTCTTACGAAGTGATGTCTGTTTTATTGAATTTTTGCCTTAACACACCCCTACTCTTTCGAAAGACATCCTGGGATTTTTAATGACCACAGAGAGTCAGGACCTTGGTTTAACGTCTCCTCCGAAGGACGGTGCTCTTTGACAGTATAGTATCCCCATTACTATACTGGGGCATTAGGACCCACACAGACCACAGGGTGAGCACCCCCTGCTGGCCTCACTAACACCTCTTCCAGCAGCAACCTGGCTTTCTCAGAAGGTCTCCCATCCAGGTACTAACCAGGCTCAGCCCTGCTTAGCTTCAGTGGGCAACCAGTCTTGGGCTACAGGGTGATATGGCTGCTGGCTAACTTTTTATATAAAGAAACAATTCTGTATCTCAAATTGGCAGCATCATGGTGGGTTTGTGCCATTTTAAGTACACAGAGGAGCTTTTATTCTGAGAGTAAACTGGCAAAAATGTTGCAAAAGACTTAGAAAAACGAGAAGGGCAGAGGAACAAAGGGCAGAGAGATTGAAAGGGTTTCAACTAAAATTTAAGTAATATGGATCATTATTGCGGCGTTGTCCTACTTTACCAGTTATTTTGTAATCCTTTTTATTTATAAGTTGGTAACATTAGTAAATGTTACTGTTAGTTATGCACTGTACTTTTTATAGAAAATACTTTTTTAGTAGTTTTAACTATAATTTATTTTCTTTACATCAACATTAATCTTCTATTTCGTATTAAACATTAAAATATTATATATACAAATGTTCGTTATTAATGTTTCCCCGTTAGAGTACGTACAAATAAGTACTATGTTTAATTAATAGTAATATTAATTAACACGTACTTAGTCTACTAAAGGGTTAGATTTGGGTTTAGGGTTAGTTGCTTGTAATTATGCATTATTTGCGGTTATTACTTTGCTAAGTAGCAAGAACATTAAATAAAATGTTACCGCGGAATATTCTTTAAAGAGGGGTGCTTTGTGTAGTGAAACAAAGCACATCAATGGTGCGCATCAACCGCCTGAAAGTGTCACTTGATGTAATTTACAACAGTCCAATCACGGGACATGTAACAAACGATGGGGCCAATGTCTTTGTTTTGATTGGTTAAAAAGATGGTTGGGATGATAGCGTGGATGATAGACGCACGCTGACGAATGCAATCTGACACTCTTACTATTCAGCAAAATGTCTGCGCGCATCTCATGACTGGAGGAGGGTTATAGAAGATAGTTAGTTTCTGCTTCTTAATGGCACTGTAAAATTATTTGTTAACTTAACAAGTAGGCTACTTTATTATTCATGTTCTTTTATTTAGAGGGCTGCTAAAAAAGTAGGCCTGTTTATTGTTGAAAGTCAAACTAAACAGCCTGTCCATCACTGGTTTCCGGGCATTACGCGATTGAAACATGGATTTCGTTCTCGGCGGCGTCGCTGCGTGTGGCGCTTGTTTTTTTACAAACCCGCTGGAGGTTGTCAAAACTCGAATGCAATTGCAAGGAGAGCTAAAAACCCGAGGAACCTACCAGGTGTATTATAGGAACGTATTTCACGCCTTTTACACGATAGGCAAAATAGACGGACTGGCTGGTCTTCAGAAAGGTTTGGTCCCCGGGTTGGTTTATCAGTTTTGTATGAATGGGTTCCGGCTGGGGTCATTCGCCATCATTGAGTCCTTGGGCTACATTCACACGGACGGAAGGGTCAGCGCTGCAAAGAGCACAGTGTCCGGGGCTATCGCCGGTGTGGTGGGCGCCGTAATGGCCAGCCCTATTTACCTGGTGAGTAACGATAAATGTCTGTGATGCACGCGCGCAGCATTTGCCTACTGAAAGAGTTAAACTTGACAATTTAGCGCAGAGACAGACTGCAGTGTCGCGACTAAACGGATACAAACACAGCCTATTAGGACAATGAACTAAATATTTGCTATATTTATTACATAAATAAAGTCAAGTATTAAAATATGATAACACGCAACAATGATAATATTTATGTTATCATGTTAAATATTTTTTAAATGCAATGAGGAATTAATGTTTTCCATGCTTTTGGTTTCCAAACAATTCACTTCAAAGGTGCATTGCGCAACATTTCATGTTAAAAATAGCCGTTTTCTAACCCATACATGCTTAAACAATCGCCTGATGGGCTGAATTAGCCCTTCTCTGATCATTGCGATCGCCTCTATACTATAATCCTGTACAGTGAAATAAATGAGAGGGATTTGGGCTCCAATCTGACGGTAGAGATCCACTTGTCCGACACGCCTCCCCACGTTTGTACTTTGATGCAATATTATGAAGCTGCAGACTCGGAGCCTGCATCTACAGTCCCCCACGGAGAGTCCCGCATTCTCAGACCCCTCGTTTTTCGAACACAGCGCCTCCTGCTGTTCAAAAGATCGAATGACACCCGCACACAGAGTACAGTGCACGATTATCCAAATGCAATTAAAAACAATAGGATGCAATATTATGGTCTTCAAATAAATTATCCAATATATATTTGCGTTCCCTGCTTAATACATGTGCCAAAAAAAAAAAAAACTAATTGTTACTGATGGAAGGGATACAATTACAGATTGAACTATCTTCAGAAAAATAGTAGGCTATATTATATTGCTACAATGTTTTTATATATATATATATATATATTTTAATTAAAATTCCAATTTTTCTTTCAGTTCAACCTTAGTCTAATTAACATTACCATGCTAACATTACAATATATGTTTTTGATTTTTTGAATGCGAAGCAAAACAAATCAGAATAGACAAAACACCAATAATAAACAATTCTGTAGTTGGCTACTTTATTTAATGATCACCTAAACATCATCTTGCTGTAAAGAAAAAAAGGAAGAAAAACTGTGTTCTTGACTTTACTTTTCGTCTTCAATTGCATTAAAAAAAACTCATTTATAATTATAAGTCGCTTTGCATAATCATAAAATGATATGTTGATGGATTCGGCAGGGGCAGCTCCATCGATGTATGGTGTGGAATAGCCTACAACATAGGACCGATAGCACATGTCTCATGATGTTTAAAAAAGAAAGAAAAAGATGTTTGTAAATGGTAGTTATATTGCACTGCTCTGTTAAAGTGTCCCTTGAGATGTTTTTGAACTTTGGACAGCTTTGTGGGTTTGAAATATATGGGGGCACAAAATGGGCAGTGAAAATAACTGCAGCATTTATGACATTTCTACAAAAAGTTCAAGGTTAAAGGCTAACGTAAACGTAAGCTATCTAAATATTTTCGGGGTGAAGAGGGCGAAAAAACATACATTAACGGCTCAAATCTTGTTACAAACCATCTTTACAAATATTAAATGGACTTTTCATATGTTGTATCGATGAGCTAAATTAGTTTTATTAATCAAACGAGTTGCCTAGGCTACTACGATTCTCTAAATAAAATTGAAGATAGCCTACTCACGTTTTGGCTTAAGTTCTTCACATGTTTATCCGATACAATTTGATAGGAGGCGCTGTCTCGAAAAACGAGGGGTCTGAGAATGTGGGACTCTGGGTGCAGGGGGACTGTAGATGCAGGTCTCCGAGTCTGCAGCTTTATACTACTCGCGTGACGTGAGACAAAGAAAATACAACTTCTGTCTGTCCAGTGCCAGGCGTCGGAATAAGACGAGAGTCAACATCAGGAACCAAATGGAGAGATCTTCGGTCGGCTCTCAAACGGGTCCTATACAAAGTAATAAGTTATATTGTTCATGAACGTGTTTCCATAATAATACAATCATAAGTGGATACAGTAAGCACATAAAACCAAAGATTTCTACCATCCCCGTTTCCCCTCACACAAGTGTGTAATTTACTCAAATGCCTTTCCTTTCATATATTTGAAATGACTTGATTTATAACTTTATTACCTCATTATGACTGTAACAAAAGATGTGAGCCGCACAATGTGCGGCTGATGCTCCTTTGGTTATGAACAGCTCGAGCAAACGTGCGTGTGTGTGTGTGTGTGTTTTCGACTGGAGCTGACGAACGCCATTTACCTCGGACTAGCGTCTATAACAGCCGAACACGTAGATGGTGCTCCAAAATGGACAAAAAGCACCAAGTGTCTTTAGTTTACCAGCAGATTACCTACTCTCTATTTGTATTTCTTTCAGGTAAAGACACATCTGCAAAGTCAGTCCACTTCTTCTATTGCAGTTGGACACCAGTATAAGCACAGGGTAAGTTAATGGTGACCTCACAGAAACATCTATGATAATAACTTATTTTCCCCCCTCTTTTAAAGGGATAGTTCAGATGTAGGTGTCTTTGTTTCTGCAGTAGCTTCAATTTTGATATTTTTAGGTCAAACCGTTCGTGTCTATCAGTCATATAATGCAGGCCTATGGTCACCATCTCAAAGAGCATGCACAGAGAAGTCCAAATTAAACATGATTTAATGACTCGTAAATGTATATCCACATTGATGGCCTAAGACACGAAACAAGCGGTTTGTGTGAGAAAACAAAGAGTATTTATAGTTTTTACCTCTTGTAACCACAGCCACGTCGTGATCTGAGGGCACATTTCGGAAGAGTTACCTTTCACTGTGAAGATCCGGCGCTTGTAGACCGAAGCGCACGCGCCCTCAGATCACTTGGACGTGGCTGTGGTTACGAGAGGTAAAAACAATATAAATGAAGAGTTCAGATGCAAAAGCCTCTAAGTGTCATTTAAAATTTTCTTCTAAAATGATCATTTTTATCAAGCTTGTATATTTAAGTTCAGTAATTTCACTTAAATGGCAATGAAGATTACCTATTAATTGTCATTTAAGTGAAATTACTGAACTTAAATATACAAGCTTGACAAAAATGGTCATTTTAGAAGAAAATTTCAAATGGCACTTAGAGGCTTTTGCATCTGAACTCTTCAAATGTTCATTTTCTTCTCACACAAACCTACTCGTTTCGTCTCTTAGGCCAGTGTTTCCCAACCCTGTTCCTGGCGGCACACCAACACTGCGTGTTTTCTTTGTCTCCCTAATCAAACACACCCGATTCAACCCATCAGCCCATTAACCCACCTGATTATGAGCTGATGGGTTGAATCAGGTGTGTTTGATAAGGGAGACAAAGAATACACGCAGTGTTGGTGTGCCGCCAGGAACAGGGTTGGGAAACACAGGCCATCAATGTGTTCTTACATCTCTGTGCATGCTCTTTGAGGTGGTGACCATAGACCTCCATTATATGACTGACAGACACGAACAGTTTGACCTAAAAATATCAAAATTGAAACTACTGTGGAAACAAAGACACCTTCATCTTGGATGCACTTGAGGTAAGCTAAAATGAATTTCTAAGTGAACTATCCCTTAAATGTCACGTAAGAACTTTGATCTTTAAGTCGACCTATCCTAGGATTGTAGAGATTTTTTGTAATGTTAAATCCCATTGCATTTGTGGTAATGTACTAACGCTCACTAAGCACTAATGCTCACTAATATGTACTAAGGCAGTTTTGTTTCCAGCTTGAATCTAAAACCACAACCATTTCCTGTTTATTATATATATATATTTATTTTATTTATTTATTTATTGTCAGGGAATGATGCATGCATTATTGGCCATCCACAAACAGTACGGAATTCTGGGTTTGTGGAGGGGAGCAAGCGCAGCAGTCCCAAGGGTCAGTGTGGGGTCAGCTGCTCAGCTCTCTACTTTCTCTGCCTCTAAAGAGCTTATCATTGACCTACAGGTAAGCATATTTCACTTCAACTGGGAGTTATTCACAGTGAGAATAGAAGATGGGCTTGACCTCTGTTTTTACAAACAGTATTGAAGTGGCTCTTTTAAACTGTAAAGAGTAACACCAGGATCCAGTCGCATAAACTGCCAAGGCTAATCTTACAATTTAGTCATCAAAAGTCAGTTACATAAAAATTTTGATACCGTAAGACTGATTTCCCCTAACTAACTGCTTGTTGGTCATACTAGTTCTTAAGACACAGTCTTGACATAGTGGCTGTTTATGCAACTGGCTCCTTTTAATAATTATGGTTGTCAGTTCCCCAAACACTGACTGTGTAAAGTAGCCTTAGCGGTCCAACTCAATCATAATGTTTCTTTGTAGAGCAGGACAGGGGACAATGTTTTAGTAAATCTGCCTTTTTTTCCGGGGCAGTCAACTCTTAGTTTAAATTAATTTGCAACGTTTCTCAATATTCTCTTATTAGATATTTCCATTTAGCCTTTAAGGACCCCATTAAATAAAAAAAAAATGTTTGCAGTCATTTAATGCGTGTTAGCTTTGATGTCAGCAATATGCTAGTGCCCTTAAAAAAATGTTGACAAAAAAACTCTTAGAAATACATATTTATATTTCTAAATTATAGAAATATTGTAGGAAACAATGGTGTTACACAGCAACTACTAGCAAAACCGTTGGCATAAACAGCCAAAATTTGATGACTAACTTGTCCTGGCATACCTTCTTGTTTCAAAAGGAAATATGTCAACAAAGGAAAGAGAATTGTCTCCTGAAAGACGTATTTAAAGCAAACACCTTGTATTTAGGGCTTTGCGATGGATATATTAAGCCTGTTGTGGAAGTTATATGACAATTACTTAATGTTACTACTAGTCATATTGTCCAGATTGGTGAACAAAAGGGTGTTTTGTGTTTCAGTTGAGTTATTTATAAAGCATAGGAAATAAAATATTAAACTGACAATTCCAGCCTATGATTTAACAACTAGGAAATGGCAAAATATATTGGTTCATGCAGCACAGTAACAATCTAAATACATAAAAAAAAGAAGTAATTTTTGTGCTAAAGACCAACAAATGATTAAGTGTTAATGTAGCTGAAATAGCTGATATATTTCGCTATAATAGGTATACATACATACATACATACATACATACATACATGTTTCTAAGGGTGACCTCAGAATGGGCAAAACAATTCCAATGGTGTTACAAATCTACAAACTTCCCAAGATATATGAAATGACGCTACAAGTTAAGTTCTGTTAACACCACCACTTAGAAGAGTTTGTGATGTTTAATTACACGGAAAGGCAAGTGTGGGGGGCAAGCGATATCCGTACTTGATGATAACTGTCATTTTTGAGTAAACTATTCCTATTAAAACTATTAACTGTTGAAGAAACACTACTAATACAGCTGAAATGCAAAAGCACTCTGTTTTGTTAATAATCAGTTTCTTTTTCTTTTTGTATTTGTAGGTCTTCACTGAGGGCAGCTGGTTAATAGCTCTGAGTGCTGGTATGATCAGCAGTGTAGTAGTTGTATTAGCTATGACTCCTTTTGATGTAGTCAGCACTCGACTCTACAACCAGCCTGTGGATCATCTTGGCAAGGTGATCTCTTGCCAACTGTCAAGAACATACAGAAATTTGTTCACAAACTTTTACTGTAATTATAATCAAATTGTGTCCTTGGTTTCATTTACACACTTGCATATATCCATTTTCGCCTACAAAGTGCTAAGACTGGTAAAAAAAGGCCTTTATCTCACTCTCTGTACTTTTCTCATGCAGGGTGTATTGTACAGAGGTTTCATGGACTGTTTCTCTAAGACATTGAAGAAGGAAGGAATGACTGGTTTGTATAAAGGTTTAGGAGCCTCCTATTTCCGCCTCGGACCTCATACCATCATTTCTCTGCTTTTCTGGAATGAGCTGCGCACTTTGTATTATAGCTACAGCTAGCATTTTGCTATTGCTCGCATCAGCAAAATATCAACTGATGTTTCTCTGATTAAAGAATCAATCAAGCACTAAGGTATGAAAGGTCCTTGTTATATTTTGAATATTGTCACACAACGCACAGCAGAGTGACTACCGATATACTCACAATGCAGCTTGGCCTCAAGTGCCTCATTGCTTTTATAAAGCAGTTACTACACAAAATAAAATAATGTTTTAATTTTTTTTAAAAAGCATTAATATTTACATTAATATGCTTAATATTTTAATGATCATTAATCTGCAACTGGCAACCTTCAACTAGAAGTACTTTCTGATATAACAGAATGTTGCAATACAAAAATGATGCACCATGGGAGCTGCACAGTAATGTGCTAACCTTGAGCCATTACTATATGGTGGAATAGCACAACTGAAGGCTGCATTGACCAAGAAGCCAGGACTGGAATTGACAGTAAAACTCCTTTAGGGTGTACTGTATGTACATGGTGTATCATATAAAATATTATATGATGAATAAGTTATGACATGTTTTTAGATTGCTTTAACTTGTCAAAATAAGTTAAGCAAATTTCAACTTTTGTTTTTATGAGTTATACAAGATTCAGCATTTTTTTTTTAAGTCAGTTTAATGTTATTTAAGTTAAATTGACTTACTTTAAGGCAGCAACTTTTTATTTTATCATTTTATATAATCACACTCCAGCAAAGTTTTGTGCATTTTGATTATGCCCATTCATTTCCTGAATCCTGATTGGGTGACATGTTCCAAGGGTTTGGACTAAATGATTAGTTCTTTTTAAAAATAAAACACTTTCCTAAAGATTATTAAATGTAATCCACTGGATCAGAATCAGTTGAACTGTTTTGTTTTATCGTAGTATAAATCAAACGAAGTACTGTAAATGTTTAGTTCTCACACAGAATTTGTGGTAGAATGACTGGAACACAAATAGTCTTTTCATTTTGTGACTGACTTGACAGCTGTAATAATCTTGCTGCTAATCATTAATCATGACTTGAAGGACAAAGACTTACTTAGTTAGGATGAGGTAGGACTCAAGCTGAATGGTTAAAACAACATCAGAAACAGTCTTGTTTGCTGATGCCTTTAAATGTCCTAGCATATTAGGAAAATAAGACACTATTCAATGGGACACAGAATAATTGTCATCATTTGCCTTAATTGTGCTCTACTGAAATTGTATGAACTAGTGTATGACGATTTAAAGAAATTTATGTAACTAATTGTCTGTATTAAATTACTTAAGAGACTTTAAATATATAGGTACATATCTGTAACATATGACCGTATATAATTTGAAAATAAATATTTTTTTAAAAGAATGACTATTTTATTTTATATATACACATGACAATAACACTGCAACATGTACGAAATACAAGTTCTGATAATTCCGATTTAATTCACACTTTAAAAAATTCTGAATGTCATTGTATTAATCAAACCATGAAGTGATATCAGCATGGAAATAATGCTAAATCTCTTTTTTATTTAATGGTTAATTTTGATCACTATACATTTTGGTTTATAATTTAAAACCTACATTTTTTTGTGAAAGGTTTTGATTGTGCTATTTATCTTTAAAATAAATGTCACATGGTCTGTGACACTTTTGGTCAAAAAAAGATAACTGTCTCAAGAGTGTTTTCACTTTCAGAATGATAGGGAAGTTGATGGAAATGTCTAACATTTCAAAGTTAAGGAAAAACCCGAGTTAAGTTGATGAATGTGTGGAAGTGTCTTACATTTCAGAGTTAAGGAAAAACCTTGAGTTTCAACACATTTCCAGTAAAGTTGTTAAACATTAGTGTTGGGGTCAAGTAATAGAGATGTTTGAATTAGCAAACAAAAGACATTGATGCCTGCAAACCTTTGATAATATTAAGAAAACTCCAAAGAAATGGTGCTGAATGAATCAGCATAAATTTGTATTGAGTAATAAATGCTGGTTCTCAACTGTCAAGGATTCAACATGCTGTATTTCTTACCAAGAATTGCATTTATTTTTACTTTTTAATAATTCAAGATTCTCAACTTATTTGCACAGCCTCATCTATAAAATAGACAAATGTTAAACCTTGCACTACAAGGGAAATATTTCCATTTAAAAAAAATACATTTTTTTTTCTCTTTCAGTCATAATTTTAATTTTTTAGACTTGTGATTAAATGCATGAAGAATCTACCCGAACACTCCAGGGTCAAGTAGACAGAAGGACTGCAGAACACCCTGGAAGTCCTGTAGTGTCCATGGTGTAGCTGCCACATTTCCAACGGCACTGCTGCTGAGGGGACTGAGACAGAAGATTTTAAATCAAACCTCACAATATTCATATTAAGATCCTGACTATATTTCATCAATGAACACATTGTAAATAAATGATTAATAATCAATTTTAATTTAAGACATGTAGGTAATCCTCCAGTGTATGAGGAAAATGAGTGGAGTGACTTTAACCTGTATGCATTTAACTAACTCACTTGATGCAAACAGGATCGTTGAATGTCACTAAGATGTCAGTAGTGTACTGTGGCAAGCGGAACAAGCACAGGTGAATGTTCACAGTGTTCTTGGCCTGTGAAAAAATGTAATTCAAGCTGATGAAAGGCACAAATCTTAACATAAAAATAAATTACATTCAGTATAGTGTTGGCAGTCATACAGTTGCTTAACTAAAGTTTTGCAATTCTAAGTCATGTCAAAATCTAACTGAGGTTTCTCAGAACCCCAAGCTGTGTTCCAATTCGCACACAATGATCCATCCAATTAGTATTCAAAATTACAATTAGTGTGTCCCAAATCATAGTATTTTGAAATGAGCATTCCAAAGATACCAGTTTCTATAGTAGATCTGGTCTACTTTTTCCAGTTAGAATCCAAAGTGCAGATCCATGCACTCGAACAGCTAAAGGTAGAGAGGTTTAGATAAAGGGGTTTGAGTGATTAATAATCATTATCTAATGTGATGAAAAGATAACAGTATTATACTATTATATTTAATCTGCTATAAAAAATACTATATATTTTATATATAGTATTATATTTAATCTGCAACAGTATTATAAACTTTTAAAAGCATAATTTTGATGGTGATTAATTTGATACCACCATAATTTTGATGGTGCCCTGTAAATCATCAAAAAAGATGATTTACAGGGCACAGGATGCACGTGACTAAGCAACAGAGCGGTCCGTTAAAGACATACTGTATGGTTTGGACTAAATGATTAGTTCTTTTAAAAAATAAAACACTTTCCTAAAGATTATTAAATGTAATCCACTGGATCAGAATCAGTTGAACTGTTTTGTTTTATCGTAGTATAAATCAAACGAAGTACTGTAAATGTTTAGTTCTCACACAGAATTTGTGGTAGAATGACTGGAACACAAATAGTCTTTTCATTTTGTGACTGACTTGACAGATGTAATAATCTTGCTGCTAATCATTAATCATGACTTGAAGGACAAAGACTTACTTAAAACAACATCAGAAACAGTCTTTTTGTCTCATAAGAAAAAATAAGACACTATTCAATGGGACACAGAATAATGGTCACCATTTGCCTTAATTGTGCTCTACTGAAATTGTATGAACTAGTGTATGATGATTTAAAGAAATTTATGCAACTAATTATCTGTATTAAATTACTTAAGATAATTTAAATATATAGGTAGGTACATATCTGTAACATATGACAGTATATAATTTGAAAATAAATATTTTTTTAAAAGAATGACTATTCTATTTTATATATACACATGACAATAACACTGCAACATGTACGAAATACACTTCTGATAATTCCGATTTAATTCGCACTTAAATTATGTGATGAAAAGATAACAGTATCCATATTATATTTAATCTGCAACAGTATTATAAACTTTTGTAATTACCTTTTAAAAGCATAATTTTGTAAACACACGAGGAGAGTTCTCCACATAAAAACCACCACTAGCAGATCAATGTGCTACTACAATTCTCTCCGATATGGTTGGAAATGAAATTAAATTGATTGTGGAGGATTTCAACTGTGAAAAGTTGATTTACAGGGCACAGGATGCACGTGACTAAGCAACAATGACGAAGTAGTCATAGGCGTGGGAATGTATTTTGAGCAGGGGGGCTGGTGGATAAGCATAAGCATGGCGCAGAGCAAGAGAAGCAGCACATAGCCACAGGAGTCACGTGACGAGAGTGATGTGTGATGACTGGACGAGGCAAAAGCGCAAGAGAACTTTTGTTAATATAAGTTGCATTTCTTCGTTTAAAGGGGTTTGCCCTTTCACAAAGTCTTTCTTTTGTTTTGTTGGGGTGTACTAGACTATGTTTTCATGATTGATTGTTCAAAAACATTATTTTTCACATATTTTACATCATTACAGCACCTCTCTTCCCCTATCTGTCCTGAATGCATCGTTATTTGTGGTTTCGATGAAGGCCCTGATTAGTTAGCTGGTCCAGTGTGTTGTGATTGGCACCGCATGTTCCAGAAATGTCACGCTCAGATGTAAGTATTAAGGATGGTGTTAATTCCAAACCAATTCAAAGCTTAAGAATGTTAAACAAGAGGATCGTACAGAACGGATTTTATGCACAGACTTTGCAAGCACAGATTTCACAAGACGTTTCAGAGTGGTATGTTTTTTTTAGCTAATTTTCTTATACATTTTAGATACGATGTTTGGTGTATATTATTTTAAATGAGTTACATTATGACTTTCACAAAGCCCCGTAAAAACGTGTTGTAGTCCAAATGAGGATAATAGGACCCCTTTAATAAAAGTGAAAGGATTCGTTTTAAAGTAAGGGGACAATCCAAAGAGCTTTTATTTATTTGTTACAACATGAGTATCATCCGTCATTATGTTAATAAAAGTATGGTGTTTAAATTTTCCATTGTACCATTTTATTATTGATGTGTTTTCATTTATAATAATGAACCACTATAAGCACAATCTCCAAACACAACTGCAGGCTGCATGGCGACAGCACATAAAAATCAACTCCTAGACCTATCAGCCACAAGAAATATATCTTCAGTCAAAAAATATATATAGGCCTAATTATTCAGCAGCCTGACTGCTGCTGGTAGGCCGCCTGCTCGGCAAGTCTGCTTCATCCTCCGATAATTGATCCGCCAGCTCGAGGCTTGAACTTTATTTTATTTTGTTTGGGCTTCCCAAAAAAGTCAGATATGTTTTTGGGTTTTTTTTTGCACCATTTGGACTTGTTGAGTAAAACGTTCGACCTTCACTCACGAGTGCGCGCTGTGACTTCATGAGACAATTGTCGCTTGTTTTCATTGTATCTTAGGCTACTTTCATGTTTCAAATGAATTTTACTGAATAGATAAATTAATAACATTCGTTTTTATTTATTTTTTTGTTAAAACATTTTGTATTTATTTATTTTTAAACATCCCACCCCCACACTTTTTCAGGGGCTCCACACCAAGGCATGCCGCGTCACACTCAGCACCCCTACTTCCTCAAGTACTGGAAGTAGTATGTCCCAACGCTCTTCTGCTACACTCAAAAGTATGTACTTTTTCTTCACAAAAACTTTTAGTGCATAGTATAAGTAGGCAAATCGGGATGCATCACTTGATTTTGGCGAGATAATTATGGCAATGTAGTGTCATCTGGAACACAACAACATTCCCACTAGAAATACGAGTCAGTAATGGGAATTGTAAAAAGGATCACAGATGTACCTCCTCATTGAATTTAGAGACCAGCTGAGCTCCAGACAGCAGCCAGGCAGAGCTGCATTCCTGCATTGACAGCTCTGATTGGGAGAGCTGCTCTAGCCCTCTGACCTCCCAGGAGCCGTTCTCTACTGCCTTATTACTGGCAGCCACGTCCTCAAAGTGATATCTGTCACAATACAGAGCAGAGAAATCCTTTTCATCTATATTTATTTCCATTATGAAAAAAAAATCAATAATGCATTAGTTGGGAGATTTTTCGGAAGAAGTTCTCCTGTGTGTAAAAATACGAAATAATCCATGCAATTATCAATGCATTTATTTTCCTGTTATCATTGTAAAGCTGCGTTGAAACAATCTGTATTGTAAAACACACTATATAAATGAAGGTGACTAAACTTGACTAATGTTGGTGGGGAAAATATCACACTCACACATGTAAATGGAAGAAATGTAAAACCACCTTTGTTAGAATAATTCAATAAACAAAGTATTAAGTTGTCCCGATCTTTAATTTATGAGTCCATTTCATTTCAAATCTTGCTTTTTTGGAAGTGGGGCCTTATGATATAGACAGTAATGCTGCCTGTCTTGGATTGTAAATGTGCAATAAAAACTTTTTTTTTTAAATGTATAAACACTTCCATTTTAAATATCTTTAATAAATTCACATTTCTATTTATCATTTCAGATATTCTATTTGAATCTCTCTGTTCATCAAAAAATACTGTTAAAAAAAATCAACCATTTTAGCTGTTAAAAATAAGAAGAAATGTTTCTTGAGCACAAAATCATATTAGAATGAGATCTGAAAGATCTTGTGACACTGAAGACTAGAGTAATGGAGCTTTATCTTCACAAGAAAAAAAACAAACATTTTAAAATAGCCTATATTAAAATAGAAAGCGCTGAATATTCCTGTTTTACTGTATTTTTTTTATTAAATAAATGCAATCTTGGTGAGCATAAGAATGAAATAATGAAATATCATTAGTTTTCCCAAGGAGGAGAAAAGTATAAAGAATAAAGAAAAGAATATAAATTATTTTAATGTGAGTGTTAAAAAAACACTTTAGAAATTTGATATTGAAACTTTAATTAGGTAGATTATCACAATGGCAGCCAATCATTAAACAAAAGCATTGTTTTTTTTCCAACAAAACAAGAAGAAAAAAACACATTGTGATATTTAACCTAGGTTTCACAGACAAGTCAAGCCAAGTCCCAGACAAAAATGCACATTTGAACTGTATAACCTGAAATCAACTTAAAATATGTCATGGCTATTGTTGTTTTCTCAAAATGGACACCAGAAATGTTTTTTTTTTCCTAAGGCACATTAAAAAAAATATTTAAATGTCCTTATTCAATAACTAAAGCCAGATCTTGGCATCTAAACCCTGCCTGTGAAACCAGGCCATTGAGGCTGAATGCTAGATGCTCAATGCTAGTTGCTATCCCTGGATAGATACAGTTGATTGTTTTATTTAATGTCATGTCAGCATCTAAGGCTGTTTTCATGGCAAAAATTCAAGTACAAAAAACAAATATCATATAAATACAATAAAACCAAGCACACGCACAACAACAAGCAGTGCTACAGAAAGTTTACTGAAACGCTAAAGTAAATAGTCGTTGCTATGGAAATGATACACCGTACTCAAGTAGCATTGGTGTAAACTGACAGGTCACACTCCGTCCACAATGGACGCGACGGCACATCAAAAGCACATTAAACCCACCAAGTCACCGTCAGTTAGTATGGATACTATGTTCTGTTTCTGACCTACTTGATCTACGCACTTGAGCTACTGACAATAGACATCAAATTAACTTGGAACGTTTACTTTAATGTGTTCAAGGATGCCAGCTTGTATAGACAGTGTTGCAGCCATTTTGATTTGATTTAAAAAAAAAAAAGAAAAAAAAGGATGCATGTAGTGGAAACCATTGCGGCACCAAGACAGTCTACTAAGAAAGGCCATACGCCTTATTCACGGCAGCGCCATCTTTGATTTTTAATGAGAATGAAAGCGAGGCTGTGAGGGATAGTCATGCATCTCTTCAATGGGCTGTACTGTTATTTAATGTGTTTTCGGATTGTTCTGCTCATGAAACACTGAAAAAATATCTTTCCAAGAAATTTCAGTTGACAAAAAACTCCCGACAATGTAAGCTGTGGAAAATTGTAAGTATCTAGCAGTTTTATTCAGCTTTTTACAGCGGATGCCATTGGAAACACGGTAAGTCTATCCCTCACAGCCTCACTTTCATACCTGTCATGGCGCTGCTCTGAATAAGGTGTATTGGGCATGCTATAACACCAGGGTCCTATGTGTTTTATATCCAAGCCTGTAAATGTTACCTGGCCGCTTCAGCATCCTGCACTTGGCTTTGGTACTCCAGCAGTTCAATGATGATACTCTGATCTGTCTGAGAGTGAGCGAACACTTCTTGATTATCAGGAATCTGCCTCAGTTCACTGCAGACAGTAGGAGAGAAAATGATGGGCGTTTACATTACAAATTAGGTAAAATCAAGCTTAATTAAAGTCACAAAAAGCAAACCCACGAGTGGTTGTAAAAAGATGGTGGCAACTGCAATGTGATAATAATCAGACTTTTTTATATATGAAGAGTTCAGATGCAAAAGCCTCTAAATGCCATTTGAAATTTTCTTCTTTAATGATCATTTTTATCCAACTTATATATTTAAGTTCAGTAATTTCACTTAAATGGCAATGATAATTACCTATTAATTGTTATTTAAGTGAAATTACTGAACATAAATATACAAGTTTGATTAAACTCATCATTAAAGAAGAAAATTTCAAATGGCATTTATAGGTTTTTGCATCTGAACTCTTCATATATACTGTATGAATGATCACAAACAACCATTTTTTTTTTTCCGCCAAGTAATATAGTTAATTTAACACCACTCATCTGTGGGCTGTTTGATGTTGCAAAGCAACTAACGTATTACAGTTTTTCTCAATTGCTAAAACACAATTGACCTTATGCACAGCTGCACTACTTCCTGAACTTAAGCCAGCTCCTTGTTTCCTGTCTGCCATTATTGGCCGAACTTGATTAATTCAGGTGTGTCTGATTATTGTTGCCGTGACTACTGAGGTCAGGCACACCTGGATTAATCAATTTGGCCAATAATCGCAGACAGGAAACAAGGAGCTGGCTTAAGTTCATGAAGTAGTGCAGCTGTGCATAAAGTCCATTCATTAAACAATTTACCATTTTCTCACAACTATAAACACAATCTCAGAATTACATACCAACTTGTATAAACCTCAAACTGTCACATCGTTCACAAAAACGTTCACAGAATCAAAATTTGGCCTCAGATGAAATACAAAACCTAACAAATACACAGACTATCTTCCTACCCAGTGAACACTAGTGGGATTGATTCATATTACTGCAACAAAATACTGGAATTATTTAACAGCTCAATGCCTAATACAGAATACAATGTAAATGAAAGAGTGCAAATACAGTAAAATAAAACAATGGGCTTTAAGAAAAGTTAATTTTAATTACACTACTTTAAAATGATCTTGCAGTTGATGAAAGAAGAAGTTACCAAAGAAGAAGATACCAAAGAAGTCAATATATACTCAGTATTCAACAATACAGTATAGTGTCAATTACAGTACAGTAAATAAACAATTAAATAAATTCAGCATCCTCTGCACATTCGGTCACATTTCAATACAGTACTATAGCAGTTTCTTGGTCTTTCTCTTCTTCAATCAAATTGGCAAGAAATAAATTTGACAATCAAGAGTTTGAGGGTGTACATGTGCTACATTTTACTGAACAAAGAATAGTGAAAGTTCCCTTATCTAAAGTACTCTTACTGTGCACTGTCCTTTTACTGTATGGGTTAGTATATAGACCCAACAGATGATTCTTTCAGCTCTCTCTTGCCCCAGTGTTAGGATGCAAAGCACATATTTATTACATGATTAAAAATTAAGTAGCAAAACTGATGGAACACAAATCAGAATCTCAAGATCATGTAAATAGGAGCACAGGCGATTAATATTGTTTACTCATGGATAAATGTGTGCTATTTGTGAGTTTACATTGTGATGCTTGAGATAAATATGTGTTTTATGAATGAAAACATGGTTAAACCCGTGTACAATGAGGAGATTTTTGTGTAACGTTACAGCTTTTCACAAATCAGAATATTAAAATGTACGTTATGAGAAAACAAGTGCACTTGGTTAAACATTTTGAGAAACGGTTCTTTGTTTTGAGAAATTAATGAGTGCCCACTGAATCAGTGTGTTAGCAATCGAGAAAAATTGTGACAAATGTAACGTTACGTTGACTTTAGAAATTTATACGTCCCTGAAAAATGCTGTTTTATATAATTACCTAATATCCTTGGCATTTAGGGGAATAACAGCTGATAAAGCACCGCCAAACAGAGTCCGAGCCATAGCTGTGTTCATCTCTGCAATAATAAAGACATGTACAACATACATCCGATAACATATCAAAGAAAAGTCTAACTTACTGTAGGATTATCAATGTGCTGTCAATAAAACAAGATCTTCAAAACCCTCAACAAAACATCAACATTTTAATCGACACATCGTAATTTCATCACAAAGGTATTTAGACACATGACTTGACCTTAATAAACTTAGGCCATATCAATAATTTCACATAAATATACACAACAGACTCACGACATGCTCACATCGGCATGCTCACCAGCCAATATGACAACTTCCAGCTCCATCAGCTGGTACCGGATGTGATGATGTGAATTGAGATCAAGCTTGCCCTCTAGTGGTGTACAACAAATTATCAACTTGAAGTGATGGAACATATTTGCCAATATTATAATATTAATATTATTTGTGAAGGACTGGAGTACTTGTGAAGTGAAGGAGTAGCAACCATTACATAATATCTACATGTATATTGTCAAGAATATGTTTATATATTTAGATTAACATGAAATGTGTGTTATGTGTATAAACTGACAAATGTTTGGACACGCTAAATTTAAAACTGAAAATATCACTTTTTTGCAATTAATGCATCATGATTAAAATGAATGAATTAATCAATTAAAGTTTGATGAAATGTGAAAATAAACAATGTTATTTGAATGAAACAAACAAACAAACAAACAAACAATTTGATTTGGAAATTGGAATTAATCCAACTTTCAAATGCTATATTGAAGAGAAAGAGGACAGTTTACATTTGGAGTGTTTTGATTACATTCAGGCAGTTAGGATTATGTAAATTCCATAAATTAATTATTTACAATCATTCATGTGATTGAAGTCTGTTGGGTTTTTAGGCTAGTTGTCTTGTCTCTTTAAAATGTAAATGCAACGCTCCTACATCTAAAAACTACTAAGCGCATGACATTACTGGTTGCTAGCGCTGCTCTGGTGAAGCTAACTTTAGCAAAAAAAAATCAAATGAAGACTGATAAATTTAGACAATTGACTTTTTTGAGGGGTAATTTTTTTCTATCTCCTCTATCTTTCTACCATATTTATCCACCTCAATTTTGGGCTTTTTTATTCCTTACCAACATAAATTGGAAACATGCACTCAATTTTCATTATTAGGGCACTAAGGCACACTGGGGTAAAAGGCTTTATAAGATTTTATTCTCTTTTAAACCACTAGATGGCACAAAAATTCAGCTCAGCACTTTCAGAGTGAACTCTGACCCAACATATGACGAATGTGGAAGCGCAGAGGAAAGAGCAAAACAAAACACTGGTTACGAACTAGAAGTCTAAACTTTGAATTTTTAAAAAGAAAAGTTGGAGGAGCTTGAGTTTGTTGGCCAGCCCTATTTATTTGAACTGCAAGAGGTGTCTACTCTCACCCACTACTCCTACCAGAGCCCGTCTAACGGAGAGCCTTGGCACTTCCTATTAGCCCCATTGAGTATCATCTTGGTTGCAGTTCCATTGGAATTCCACTGGAGGTGATCGCAGAATGAATGGGAGTCTAAATGAATCAATGGGGCTAAACGGCTAAATGTGTCTCTTTCACCTGCTTGTCGTTAAATCAACATAGATTTTATGGTTGATTCCGCAAGTTCAATATAGATTATAGGCCAAAAGTCGAATGAACGAGTACTTATGTCCTTTCGATGTCTTACAGGTTAGGCCATTGTTGGCAGGAACACGCTTGCATTCTCCTATTGTTTGACGTCATCACAGTTTTGAACGGATTTTTAGAACAGATAAGTGAACTTAAAAATGCAATTTTCAGCTGAGTGTATCTTAGCCCTCCCTTTTGAATGCAACTTTCAAAATACTTGACGAACAATTACATCCTGAGAAAAGTAGATTTCTGGGGGTGAAAGCCAATTGGCTCCCATTCATTCTGCACTCGACCGCGAGCGCCCCCGCATGGACAGAGACGTGTTACTGCAGCCAGTCCAGAAACCGGAAGTAACCAGCCAGTACCAATTATTTTTTTATTTTTTTTTTTTATTTTTTTTATTGCATGAACACAATTACAGAACATGAACAGAAGATAAATTAAAAAAAAAAAAAAACAGAAAAAAAGTACATAAATAAAAATGCCAGGGTTAAAGATACACTAGTCTCGCGTAGCCAGACCTTCAGACTGACGGCTGAAGGTCTGGAATTCATAGCAGCTTTCTTTGGCCAAGGCCCGCCCATAAGGCCATTTGACTGACATGTCAAACAACCAATTACAGTTCGTTTCGTTCAGCGTCACGTTTCAGGGCGTGGAAATGTCCCCACAACAACAGATCGGCGTGCAACAAGTCAGTCAGCAGTAGTTACTGGAGTGCCTTATGGATTAATTCGTTAACAACGCTCCGCGCTATTAAATTCGCCCACGAACTCGCGCTCATGTCCATCTTATGCCCGCTTTGTCAACGCCGCACATTGAATACTCATGAGTCAGGCTGCGAATGTAAGTTACGTCCCCGCCACAGCGCGCTCACGCCTACTAAATAAACGCCTCACCTCCGGCGCCGCGTACTCGCTATTCCCTTTATTCCCTTTAGCACATCTAGTGGATGCATAACACAAACCCAGTCAAATGTTTGACTCTGCATATGAATACTGAATCGGCCAGTTGCGATGTCAGCGTAGACCTGTTTGCCCACAAACACGGCTGATATCCCCTTCGCAGTTAGGTACTTCACTTGATCTTCCATAATAGATAGGAGGGGACATACAACTACGTTTAGCTGATCTTGATAAATGCTCATTGTTACCTTTTACTGTCTATGATTGTCACTCATAAACACAACAGTTTTTCTTCCGCAATCACACATCTGCGCTTTGTTTCCCGGCGGACCGAAAATAAACGCGACACTGGTGCCCCCGGAAATCCGATAAAATTCAACCAATCAGGTGACGACTTCGACATTCCTGAAGTGTTTTCAGTTAAGTGTACCATATGCATCAGACGTTTAGCCAACGTTCCGTGGGCATGACGTCTGAGGCTGAGACTAAAGATACACATACTGTATACAATACAAAAATTGAATGAAAACAATATTAAATTGACCAAACAACCCAGCCAGCAATGACATGTGGGGCCCATATGAGGGCTTGATGGGCGGCAAATGTGGGCCCCATTATGGGCTTGCACCCGGGATCCACATTGGGGCAAGCTGTGGAAGCCCAGATGTACTAAAATTGGGACCAGTACGGGTACTGCGGGTACTACCCCAGATAGCAAACTGACATTGAATCAACTTGGAAATATGACATCGAAACAACGTTGATCTGACATTGTTTTGCTCATCGAATTAACGTTGAACCAACGTCAGACGCGTCATTCTTTCAAAACTAACGGAAAATCAACTTGAAATCAACGCGTTGTTTCAACGTTATGAAAGCAAACCAATTTTCGATTTTCATTTAGCTTTGAAGAATGCCGTGTCTGACGTTGGTTCAACGATAATTCGATGAGCAAAATCAATGTTGTTTCAATGTCATGAGAGACGTCGTTTCCATGTTGAATCAATGTCAGTTTGCTGTCTGGGAAGGCCACTTTTCTAAGTTGTAGGAACCAACCTAGCATTTTTCCTAACCATTTTGTGAGTTTCTTTGTTACCACACAAAACAACTAACTTTCTCTGATCAAACATAGGCTACACTTGTTTACATAGATCGACTATTGTTAAACCTTCTTTGGTAGACCAAAGGATATCCACAATATTACTAGCTCTTATGCTAATCTTCCCTGCTTGTACAGAGGATCAAACTTTCATCACTAAAGTAAATTTTTAGAGGGTAACACCACAAAACAACAACAAACAAACAACACAAACTATTAGCATGTTACGCTAATCTTCCCTGAAAGAAAATGGAAAGGATCTTTCACCTTCCTAAACTTTTAGAGGATGACCAAAATAACTAGCACAAAAATGCTAATCCTTCTCTGTGAACAGAGGTTATCACCAAATATTAACACGTAATGTTAATCTTCCCTAAGTTTAGAGGATACCTTCTCTAGCAACGCATAGAGGCACTATTCCGTTGAACAAAACTTCCCTGACTTATTCAGAGGATATCTTACAACTTCCCTGACTTATTCAGAGGATCCCAAAATATTAACATTTAATGTTAATCTTCCCTACCTGACAGCAGAGGATACCTTTCATCTTTAAAAGACAACTTTTAAAGGATAACTTTAGTTAATCAAACACTACAGCTGTCTGATAACTCTTTCTCTGACGGCGCAGGCTCAAATTGTACTGGTCTTCAGCGGTTCTTTGAATAGAGTGAAAACTCACAGAATCGTTGCTTGTATGAAAAGATTCAGTCTGGACCTCAGTCAGAAAAGTTCTTTTTGTTCTTGTTCTGGAACTCAGTCCGCTTTGTTGATCTTGTTCTGGAACTCAGATTTCTCTGTTGAAATCTTTTGTTGCAGTTCTTGATTCAGGTAAGATTTCTCTATCCGGGTCACAAGGCACCATCTGTAGTGAAGTTTTATTCTTCCACGCAACAGACCAGGAGACTCTTGAGGTATCTTTCTCGCAGAAGTTCTTTATTGCATCGCTGTAGTCATCTCAAGGATAGTCTAACTAAGGGAAAACATTCCCTTACAATTTGAAGAGTTCAGATGCAAAAGCTCTATAAGTGCCATTTGAAATTTTCTTCTAAAATTATCATTTTTATCAAGCTTGTATATTTAAGTTCAGTAATTTCACTTAAATGGCAATGAAGATTACCTATTAATTGTCATTTAAGTGAAATTACTGAACTTAAATATACAAGCTTGATAAAAATGGAGGAAGGAATTTTAGTGGAAAATTTCAAATGGCATTTAGAGGCTTTTGCATCTGAACTCTTCATTTATACATTTAGAGGGGAGGAGTTTACATTGTGGGGGGAGAAACTGAAACAAAAGCAAATGTATATGATTCAACAGGCACCTCAGTTCATCAGCATAGCATTTTTCTGTGCCTTGAGATGCTAATCTGGAGGAGTTACATTGAGGAGGAGTCTATTGAAACAAAGCAAATGTAAATGATTCAGCAGATTACCAGAGACGCTAATCTAATCAGTCTGACCAGCGTGGTCACACTTTTACCATTACAAAAGCAAAGCTGAAACTTGAACTTAATGGCCAGGAAGTACATAAAGACAAAAGCTAATGTGTGACACCTGAGGGCTATTTCACAAAACCAAGATAGCGGATTAAGCCGGGATTTTCCAGATATCCTGACTGAATTAAGCCGGGACTCGGTTTCACGAAAGCAGCAGCACATAAGTTACCATGGCGATTTATTCTGTGCAGC